ATTAGTCAGTAACAAGAGAAACCCGACAACATGAACGACGCAAGAACGACGGAGAACAACTGACAGTAATCCTGTTGGCCGAGGGGCTATACATGGGACTGCAGAGACTGCAAACGACAACAGTGTAGCCGGCTTCGTGCGCCTACTGCGGCTATTTTTATACCACCATTTCTCATCAAGGGGCGTTTCCTTTTGTTGCTGAAGGACAGTAAATGAAACGGAGGCTGAGTCATCCCCTCATGCCGCCAGGCCTCTGATGGGACAACCGCTAACGCATCAAAGCGTCTCCCTCTGCCCTGGACAGTTCACTCATCAGAATGTCATGTAAAAGTGCACGCCCACACGCGGTTACGCCATGCCCGCCTACATTTTCGGCTTTTAGAAAAGGTTAAGACGACCAGAGTCCGTATTTTTACTAGCAGTTCGGATCGTTTATCGGCTCATTTCCTATATGTTTTTCCATGCCTAACTGATCACATTGTCAGAGCTGACATGTTTGGATTTTTTATGACTATAACTAATATTGATTGGTCGCGACGGAATACTAATGACGTTGAAACCCAGCGTCGTTCATGTTGTATAACTGAAAACTGACTCCTCAGGGCTTAGTTGACTTTTCAGTCCTTAACAGCGAAGATTTTAGCGCAAAGAACATTTTTTTCAAATCTTCTGTCCCCCCCCCATTTATCTGGCATGCGAAATCAGGCAAGCATTTGGAGAGGAAGCTTTGCGTTCTCTCGTTTCGCAGTTGGTCGGTCGAGTGAGTCACGCGAAACGTTGACCAACGTAGCAGTCTTCCCCACAGATTCAGACTTAACGAATCGGTACGCCGTCTGTTGTAACCCGAAAGCCACATCGGCTGTGCAGAAGTCTACAGAAAGACTACTGCAGTAGCCGTATATGACGTCAGTTTCTAACATTTATATTGCTGCTGTAAACCGACCAGACAAGAGGGATAGAGACATTGACTGTTTCGGACGATTTTATGTCCGCACTCGTCTTTGTCTGTTTTTCTTTGCTATTCGATCGCTCGTGAGGGTTTTGCGTTAGTGCTTCAAGGCAATGAAGGAAAAGCATGTTGCGTCCTGCAATCCAGTCGGTAGAACGCCACTCCTACATAACCTGTTTATGCCCTCTTCAGCGAAAGCACGTCCACACGCATACCAAAGGCAAAGTCTAGCCGATGAGCCACGAACACCATTAAACGCAAGTATTATTACGCATTCCGCCACAGTTAGTCCTTTTAGGTTCTCTCGGACATCTATTCACATAGGAATAGGCGCACAGGGTGACAATCCCGGCCTAACTTGACTTAGTTGATCTATCTCCGAGGGTCCCTATTTAATCATCTCAATGCCTGACAGATTGTCACCTGTCTATGATTCTTGTCACCAAAACTCAAATGTCCTGGTGGTACTACCACTGACAGGGCGGAGCACGGTTGTCTCTTTTGGATCCCCATCGGCTCGGCACGTATGGACTTGAATGGGCAACAGTACTCACATAAACCATGCGAGATTTCCTGGCTTGTTCAACCAGCCGAAGCGAAATGACAGCGTTGATCATTAGGAATACAGAAAAACTCTTTTCACCAGACCTAAAGATTAAGCTTAACCGGTTGTGCATACATATCTTCACAGTGAAGCCTCTTCTGAATTACTGACTGTATTCGCTAATGCCTCTGCCGTTTTAGTGCCTCCGGGACGGTACGACTTGCTCGCAGTGTTCAGACCAATGAGCCGGTGGCCATCAAAATTATGAATTTGACCAAGCAGCCCAATCGTGATCTCATCATTTCCGAGATCCAGGTCATGGAGCACACACGTCACGAGAATATCGTGAACTACATCGAATCGTTCCTCCTGCGTGATAAGAACGAGTTGTGGGTTGTCATGGAGTTTCTTGACGGTGGTCCTCTCACGGATGTGGTTACGGAGACGATCATGGAGACCCCGCTCATAGCCTCAGTTGTCAAGGAGGTTCTCAAGGCCCTTAACTTCCTTCATCAAGCCAATATTATTCACAGGTGAGAGCAACCTGCTTTTCATTCATTGATCTTTGTGCCCTGTCAACCCATCGAAGACGGTCCTCAAGCGCACACCTGGTTTTTTTTATTTTAAAAGCTATCGCTAGCCAGCAATCTTATTTTCCCCTTCCTTTTTACTGGCGTATTCTACTGTTTTAAAGTAAATCGATATCATTGATGTGCTTCTTTTCGGTAGCGGTAACAAAAGCCATAATCTATCTTCTGAACTCAACAACTTACTTGTAGCTCTCCAAATAGTGAGCCCCCAGGTAGTCTTAGTTTGCCTCCAGCTTCCCTGAATTTACCGGAGGATTCAATAAACTGAGACAACTTTTATCTCAAACTTATTCATTTTGATAGGCTCTCCTATCGAATATTGGAGAAGCTTGTGACTTCGAAGACTACTTTAATGTGGGATAACCTAGAAAAAAGAGGCTCAAGTGCTTTGATTTCCCCATTCTAGATGTTTTGTTTCCTTTAATTTGGCGTACTCTAGCACATCCTGCCCTGCAATTATATTCTAAGTTAGTACTTTATCATTGTTAGTTTATCCTTACTGCATGCCGACGCATTTGCGCGTTCACTCTCTTTGTATTTTTCGTCCTTCCTTTAGGGATATAAAGTCCGACAACATCCTTCTGGGCAAGTCCGGGCGCGTAAAGCTTACCGATTTCGGCTTCTGTGCCCAACTTAGTTCGCGACTGAGCAAGCGCCAGACAATTGTTGGCTCCCCCTACTGGATGGCACCCGAGGTCGTGAATAAGTCCGTTCAGTATGGCCCGAAGATCGACATCTGGTCTCTGGGGATTATGGTCATTGAGATGCTTGATGGCGAACCGCCCTACCTGAATGAAACTCCGCTCAAGGTAGGTTTCCCGGCCTTTTTATGTGCTTCCCATATTTTGAAAACCAACCTGCATACTGGCTGGTTGACACAATCCCATTACTGGTTAACGAGGAAAGATGGAGCGAGTTATTTTGACGCCCTAAGTGTCCTACCTTAAACGTTTTAAAACCTACGGAATACTTAGTTCTGTGACAATGGCGTTAAGGGACACACTCGTCCCGTTGGGTCCTGGAACTCATTCAAGTCCCGCCAGCGGCCGCACAGCGGCTGGTATATTATAGGCAGAAAAGTCTTACCGACGAAGACAAGGGAGACTTGAATTGTCCTTTCTCGCTCACTAGCCCTCATAACTAATCTCAGATGTTGCAACACCCGAGGCTAGGGCGTTGGACTTCTAGCTAACAGATATCGGATATGGCGACATTTGGTGTTGGGTATGACTGACTGATTACGGCTAATAAGTCAGACATGGTCATTCCAGTCTCCCTTGTCTTTATCGGTATTGCTACTCTTCCTACATCACATTAGGTTATCTGCTGAAAACGGCAGCGGTGGCGGTACTCAATTTCATATCGACTTTGCGAATACACGTTCATCGCAGCGGCCTATAACCGGGTTAGTGAAGTCATCGAGTTTCATCTCATCTGCTGCCTAGTCTCATTCAGCAGTCTAAGATCTGACTGTGTTACCATACACACAGACAGAGTCTCTACTTCAAGTCGACTACATCAACAACAGTTTCGCAGGTCTAAACAACACTTACATGCTCAGAGGAAAGACTGAAAAAGATATCTTAAAAGTGCTGATTACCTTGTTGGTCATTCAGACCTCACAGTCAGCATAATGTGTGTTTAGGCAAAGCAGCCAACTGGTGTTCTGGGAGTCAGGCTACAGCGGCTCCTTAAAGTGAACTCTGACACTTTCACACATATACCGTCCCTTTTGTGCGAAATCCTGGTGTTTGTGTTTGGGGCACGCGCAGACGGGATCACTAGGTATGCCAGCGGCTGCGCCCCTTTCCGCGCACCAGTCAACTGACCGGATCGGACAGTAGCTGGGGCTTGGGAATGGGAGTAGAGCGTGAGGTCGATGGCCCAGCGCATTTTCCTCATTTCAAACAATCTGACGTACTTGAAGCTGTCACGGTGCGCTAAAAGCCGTGGCTTGGAAGGTTGCCAACTGACGGGATAACTCGGATCGCGCGCTCAGTCTAGCGAGTGTTTGTGTGGAGTGGCCGACTGGCGGACTGAGAGTCGACACCCGAGGGTCGAACTCGCAACTTGTTAGCGAGAATTCCAATCACTTAGCCATGGGTCCATTGTCCTGTCGTTTGCGATCGGTCCTATTGGAGCGCAACTGAGAGCCAGGTTGTGATGCGACCCTCTTAATATTAACCATTTGGCAACCTTGCCTTCCGGCCACAAAAGAAAGACAACAATGGACATCAGCCAGCCATACCCAATTCCAAGTGTTTTAACACCTGGTGCATATGGCCCTTTAGGTCATATTTATAGAATCACCCAGACATGAAACTGGTCGCCGAGAAAAATGAACGTCCACAACGAAAGTTGGCAATAAATATGTCTTAGATCAGTTACATATTTTCTGAATAAGCTGCCTCTTTAAAAGACGCTTCAATTAAATATTGAGCTGACGCATATCTCTGTAAATAACCTTTTTTTCAAGGTTAAGTGAAATTCACACGTTCGGCCATTTTTTGACTTCCCTGAAGACTAGTACTACTTTTCTGACTGCAAATGAAAGGACCCACCTTTCTCTTTGTATTGGAACCTTTTTTGTTGTCTTTATTTTATTTTAAGTTTCCTTCTATGCTTGTAAATGCGTAATAGCGGGGCCGTATAGGTATTAAGGTATTATTGCAAAAACTGCTAATCTTTTGCTCCTTCTATTTCTAAACTAAACATCAGCAGAAAGTAGATCATGCACAAAAATTATTTCACCACATGCTACAAATTTTAAATGGCTTTTAGTGGATGGGCCTGTCTGTAGAAACAGACAGTAGACTTCATTACTACCTTTTAGGGCATCAAAACACACAGATGTGCAACTCTAAATTTTAAAATCGATAGCAACGTCTAAGTTTCTAGAAATTATCGTCCTTCCTGCACATTTCTTTATCTGCGTTGCGTGGAGCAAAAAATCAGTTTTCAAGTGTGACCAGTTCCGTATGTTCAAACTCACGAGTTTAGCCTACTCTCTTCTCGAAGAAAAACAAGTGCCGATGCGCATGCTAGTCTAGGATAGCTGGTAGCACACGAAACAGGTAACATGGATTTCCGCTCCAATTGGTCAACATTTTGTCGAATAAAAGTGTCTATATAAACATATTCTGCACGCAAAAACATCATTTTCCGGAAAAGGCGGATAAATAAAATATGCAGCATTTTACTTGCCGACACTTGATCTTCTCAATTTCCGTCACCGCGAAATAGGTCACATGGTGTACATACCATACATCACCTGGTCGCAGCAAACATCTTCATATGAGTTAATGTGGCCAGCTTACATGTGTAATAGACTGGTGCTCACTACTTGGACCACAGTCGACATTCTGTCAACACCGTTACAAATATTTAATGAATTCGGCTAAAGAATCGAATAATTTTGCGCAGGTGTGTATCTTGTAGAGGCGGGTAGGGACTTGGAGACGTCTTCAAAACGATACGCTAATACCTGTGATAAATGGAATTTCGCGTTTCCTTGCCGCCGTGCTAGTTCTTCCCAAATCTGTCAGGCCAAGGCTAAATTGGCGGTATTTAACAAAAACTGATTGGCGGATCTGCGCTGATAGTACTTCGCAGGCGCTACCTCATACTTTCGGAATTTTACCTCATCACACGCAATTGTGAGTTTTGATTATGAGTTTAGAGAGAGATGTAATTATTGGTACACGAATGTTGTTAGTCCAACATTTCGAATTCACTCTTGAATCCACCATTACAGGCAACAGATAGTGATACCGAGCGCACGCCGACATAATTCATATAGTCCAGTTGCTACGTGACCGCACGCTCGGTAAAGTAAACAGTCCAGCTT